AAGTTTGGTCTTGGAGATTAGGACACATCTGCCCCGAATCAACCAAGACCTCACACACAGTGTCGTGGATAGTCGCTCTCATTACAAAACTACCCAACGACCCCCATGCATTTACTTTGGGGCTACTTATGGAGGAGGTGCTGCTACCGGGTCCTTTTGGTGTCTACTCGATGGCGGCGCCCACGACCCTTTAGGCGCTGCCCCAGTCGTTTCCCTGGTTGTAGGGGCAGTCTGCCCGCCAGTGGCCAAGTTCATTGCACTCAGAACAAGGATGCGTTTGGGGGGAGGGTCGTGCGCGTCCCTGCGTGCGAGGTTTGCCCTTGTTTGCGTTTTTTTGCATTGAGGGGACACTTCCCTGCCCAGTGCCCGAGCTGATGGCACAAGGTGCACGGATGGGTCTGCGGTGTTCTAACAGGCCCGCCACTAGCCTGCGGGGCTTGGGCATTAGATTTAGCCAACCCGTTAATGGCCTGGGTAAACTGATTGCACAGGGTGGCAATTTGCTCCTGGTGAGCGCGTTGCATGTCCACTAACTGTTTCTGCGTTGCAGACACCAGTTCGACCAAGTTATCATTGTCAGACGATCCAAACTGCCTAACTTGTTTGGTTCCTTGACGGACCCTCGAATGTCTTCCAGGAATTGTGCCTGAGTGCAAGCTTCGTGGAGTGTTTTGGGACGGAGTTTTTTGACCTCCAAACTGAGTTCGGGATTTCCCAACCGGTCCATGAACAACTGTTTAGCTAGGCCTGTCCCTGATTTCTAGGGGGGTGTTTGGGTGCTACACGTGATATCACATGCATAAGACGGATCTCAAACTTTTGGAGAGACTCGCCCGTTTTGCGGCTGATTACATTGAGCTCCCCCTCGTAGTGTGTGGGGTCTTCAGGCCTGGCATAAATACCCCTGAGGTAAGCAAGCAATTTCTCAGGTTTGTTTACATCTTGGGTTGGTGCGGTTCGCAAAGTCTGCAAAGCCCCCCGGTCAAATGTTTTCGGATCACAGCCAATGTGAGGGCATCTCCCCAACGCCCCATACTGCCGCTCATTTCGTATTGGTCTTCAAACTACCTCCCAGTCCACAGACCCCTCCCCCGACGAACTTACACGTCAATTTGGGCACCGATCGGGGTGCTTGGGTGGCTACAGACGGACTGTTCTCTTCATTATCGACAGGCGGAATTACTTGGTCTTCATTATCGACAGGCGGAATTACTTGGTCTTCAATAACAACGGGCGGAATTACTTGCTGCTGTTCCATAGTGAACTACTGCCAAACGCGAATCTATCCTTGTTTAGAGTCGCAAAATTTTCAAAGCTCCGGTCAGACAACTTCCAAACCGGCAACTATACTGACTTAGACAACACTACGCGCAGGTCAATTGTAGTAGAAACCTCCTCTCAACCCCCCACGCGAGATAGAAATAGATTATCTGCTAGGGTCCGGATGATTTCACAAGGCTCCACAAACTACAAAACCACCCGGGGCAAATCTACCAATGAAAGTAGCGACATAAACAACTACCGAGAGGTGCACAAGCTCACGAGAACAATCAACGAAAGAACAAATGGCACTCCACCGAGGGAGCAGAATCCTGGTCACGGCACCAATTTGTAACAATAGCCTTTTTGCTCTATGTTAGCTTTAACCTAAACATTCAAGCAAACACGATTCGGATACTGGATTCTGCTTTCGGAGGAGTGTATTTATTCACAGTGTAACACAATAATAAACAACCACAGCCTTGTAACGACAAGATATCCAAGCTTTCTTCTACAGTTCCTGACAACTAACAAGAGCCTCAGTTACATTAACAATCGGACATTGCGTTGTGTACTTTTTATAGACAAGTGACTAAGGACTTACTTGTTCAGTTGGAACGGACACAGGACACTCAGAAGTCACTCCGCCTAGACTCTCTCGTAATCACTCCCGACACACGACTGTGTCCTGCCTTTAAAGCTATCCTAATTATGCGCATAACCGACTCTGACCTTGATTGGTAGACAATACGGCAGCCCACATATAGGTGTTAACTGAGCTTGTCTAGCCACTTCTTTGTGGTGCATATCAATACTGGCAGACGGGCAAGATGTTAACAGAAGTACAATGCTGTTGATATACATAATGTATTTTGACATAATATATTTTGACACATTATTAGGCTGGCCACCAAGCGTTACAGAGCCGTATTAAGCTTCTGATAATTTCTTTGGCTAGTGAGTCATTGTGTGCATACTGAAGAGTCAAAACTAATGCTGAAACACATTTCTGCTACAAGTTGCTCTTATCATAGAAAACAAGAGTTCCACGATCTCATACCTTCGCCAAATGATGTTAACCCTTGCGGGTGACGAATTATACAATTTTTATCATTGATTTTGTAAATAAGAGCCTCATTTGCATGGATTATATCAGTTGATCATATTCTCCATCCAATGACAGCCTGATCATAACAAAAAGGCTATTATAGCACTTCCTTATAAATTATGCAAATGGGGTGATGATTTGAATACATTACGTTTATTGATGTTCACCTTCACTTAACTTCCAAATGTGGCAAGTATGAAATTCGGGGTGCAGCAGTTACAACTATGGAATTATAAGAATTTGCCATTAATTACACAAATTAGGTCCTCATTTACATAATCTATATCCTCAGATGTTTTTCTCCTTCTCAAGTATGTGTCAGAAGTGTTTCATAGTTCTATTATCGAACAAAGCAGATTTATAGATTCTGAATTTCCTCATTAATTATGCAAATTAGCTCCTGATTTGCATAATTGCCATCTGATTATGTCAAGCATCCCTTCAGCTACCTACATACCAAAAATCACGACGTCAACCCGTTCTTGAGTTATCGTCCTTCAAATTTTTTTCAACAACTGCTACTGCAGTTCCAGAACAAGGCGCTAGGGGACCCAAACTCATGTCACTTCTTCCCTACCCCAATAGCTATCTACCAACCAAAATTCGTGACCCTAGCATGTCCAGAATATGCGATATCAAAACCGGAAGATCAGCTGCAGTACCTAGGAAAGCCGCCAGGGGGCCCAAAATCTAATCATTTCTAGGTCTCATGAAGACCTACCCACCAAGTTTCATTCCAATCCATCCACTGCTTCTTGAGTTATCTTGCTAAACCACACACATACACACACAGACAAACGCTACTGAAAACATAACCTTCTTGGCGAAGGTAATAATTACCGTACAGTAACCATCATATTAGGAGACTTTGATCACAGAATAGCAGTCCACATTAACAACATGCGATGCATATTTTTCCTCTCAGTTTCAAAGGGGCACTGTATTACGGTAGTGTAAAGGCTAATAAGCTATTATATAGTGGCAGTTACACAAATGAGGGCTTTAAAACACCACTAGGAATCTCTTGTTATGGTCTCCTGAATGGGGTGATATTTCCCAATTTATGGAAAATGTCTCTAAGTTACTGCGATCCTATTTTGTTGGTGTAATAGGTAACAGGCTAGGGACTCTTACACAAATGAGGCCTTTTAATGATCATAAGGCACTTCAGTTTCTGTCATATTCTCATTATTATTCTCCTTGAGAAAATACCTTGACTTTGGGGGCATAAAAGTTAACAAGCTATTAGCTATTAAACAAATTGCTTTTAGGCACTCTGGTCTCATTCTTTCACGATCTTCCCAACTCATGAAAAAAACATCTTAATTTCCTATCATGGTGGCATGTGTTTATGAGACGCCAGGTTCTTGCGCAAATGAGGGCACTTACGCATATCCTGTCATGCCATGGAATGACGTCTCATGTTTTCAATTCCTTGAAAACATCTCAATTTTTCTAATGCAGTGGCATAAATGTTTATGAGCTTAGACGGCTCTAATATGAGGGCTTTTAGCCATCTTGTGGCACTTCCGTCATGTCCTTCAATGACGTACAAGCCAATTTGAGGTGAAAAACAGCAATGGATACACACGCCCACCTCTCGCAAAAATCAATGATGCTGACGTAAAAGGATCATGGAAAAGTCTGCCAAAGGCCAATTGTCCCGGAAGACAGTTTGCTAATGACCTTCTGTGTCGAGTACGACTTTAGGATACGGTTATGGCCTCCGCGCAAAGGTACATTTGTAGTACGCCAGCGTTTCATGGGTCGCAATCTGGGGGATTTGAGGAACTTTACAACTGAAGTCAATTTCCAGTGTGCCCACGCATTGCGTGACATAGATTTTATCTTCAAACGCATTCTTGCCATCACAACAGTCTCAATCCCTTAATCCTTAGTAGGTACATGTACATGTAGATGCATGCATACATTTACAAAGCTTAGAGAGATATCATCAAATCATGAAACGTTAGCAGTAATATAATAGAACCCGAATGACTCCTAATTATCATTTATCCACATGTATTTATTCATAGCATTGCAAAGTAAGTTAGTTACACTGAGTAAGTCCTTGTGCCATGACTTAAATGGGGACCTAAGGCCACACCAATTTAATTTCTTGGGTAACGGATTTTGCTAGAAAAATTATGGAGTGGGCGGGCGAAAAAAAAAAAAAAAAAAA